TGATATGAGTGACGTCCATCTGCCATAATGTGTTAGGTATAAGGCCTCTAGGGTTAACACCTAGATGTGGTGTAGGAAAAAGGGTAAGACAGGCTGGACATTGTTTTACAATTTGTCGGGCCTGTTCTCGAGTAATTTTAAACCTGAGGCGAAGTGTGTGAGTATTTAAATGGTGTAGCTTAGGTGCAGCAACGGTGTCTGAAAGATTTTTATCAGCTTATGTAGAAGCAAGAAAGGAATGTTTAGTGGCAAGATCGGCGCGGCAATTGCCCTCAGTCAGAGGACCAGGCAGGTCAGTATGTGCACGTAAATGGCCAATATAAAAGGATAGCTCTTGATTTCTAAGAGAGACTGTAGTTGGCGGAAAAGCTGTGCAGCCTGAGAAACTTGTTTAATTTGTGCCGCGGTTTCTAGAAGTGGAACAGACATAGCAATATAAGCACTATCTGTCTATAAATCCAAAGGTGCTTTAGGAAAAGCAGAGAAGACTGCAATGACTGCCTGCAGCTCAACTAACTGAGCTGATGTTGAGGAAGTGGTAAACGTAACTGATCAGAGAAAGAATAGGAAGCAGTTCCGCTGGAGGAACCATCAGTAAAGTAAGCATTGGTTTCTCTGGAGAAATTTGTTTGGACACACCAATAGGCATCTGAGAAACCAAACCCTTTTTCACCTCGTGAAGAGGTTTGGATGTTATTTTGAGTGGAAAGCAGTGGAAGGAGTAAGAGTTGAGCTATGCACTTTCCAGCTGTAATAGTTGTGATTAAATTTGGAGAGGAAGCCATAATTTTTATTTCTCCCTCATAGTCATTATCTATTACTCCTGGAAAGATTTGATGTCCCTCCATAGTAGCACTACTACGACCTATGAGCATTGCAAAGGTGTTTGGAGGTAAAGGGCCAAAGATTCCAGTAGGCAAGGCCTGTACCCCCACTTCAGGAGTTAATACCGTGTGGGTGTGGAACAGAGGTCCAGCCCTGCGCTTCCTGGAGTCGCTCTGGAGAGGTCTGAAATGGATTGTTTGTTGCAACAGTTTGCATCGCCCCCAAAACTTGCTTGGGTCTGGGGGCCTGGGGCTGGCCCCTGTTCCCGTTTCCCTGAAAAGTAAATAAGTGGTCTGCCATGGAAATCTGTTTTGGACCTGCACTCATTGTCAGGATGACATCCCCTCTGGCACTTACTGCATAACTCAAGGGGTTGATTCTGTCTCTGATCTTTAATATTTTTTTGTTTTACACTGTTTTGCCATGTGTCCTGGGTGACCGCATTTAAAACAATTACCTTGATTATTGTGGTCAAGGAAGTGGCGGACAGTGTACCCATGAAGGGCCGCGGCCATGACCAATCCCTGTTGATATGCTGATCCGATCTCTGAACACAGACGTACGTACCCTGTCAGGTCTGTCTTTTTTCTGTGTGGCCTAATGGCTGCCTGACAAGAGGCGTTAGCATTTTCATATGCCAGTTGTTTTACAAAGTCTGTCTGTGCGATGGTAGCGGGCGGTTTCCCAACAAGCCTCTACATATTCTGATTTCCAAAGTAAGTAATCTCCTCCTGAAAGTGTGGCTCGGGCTAATGTTTGCCAATCAGACGGTGTGAGCCAGCCCTCAGCGATAACTTCAACTATAGCTAAGGTATATGGAGCAGTAGCTCCATATTGGGTGACTGCTGCCTTAATTTCTTTTTACCATTTTAAAGTCAAGCCCGTTGTGACGCCGCCAAACCTGTCCTTGGGAATCTGTAGTTTCTGTAACAGGGAATGTCTCAAAATCTGTCGTATGTGATCCCTGAACTGGTTTTGTTTCTTTGTCTGTATTGGTTTTTAGTTTCTCTAATTGTGATATTAGTTCCCAGTGTTCTTTTTCTAATTGAATCTGTTCTTTTAATTGTTTTATTTTATTCAAAATATCTTCCCTAGGGTCAATAACCGGCATCAAAGGTGGTTCAGATGCGACCAGGTTGTAAGATGGCCGTTGTTTTTGGAAAGTGGCCATTTTGAATTATTGTACTTGCCTGGCTTCGTTTCTGAAGTTTCTTCTTCAGACGGCCATTTTGGGTTATTGCACGTGGCAGTCTTTGTTTCTAAAGGTTTTTTGTTCAGAAGGCCATTTTGGGTTATTGCACATGGCAGTCTTTGTTTCTAAAGTTTCTTTTTCTGATGGCCATTTTGAGTTATTATATTTATCAGCCTTGGCCTCTAGGATTTCCTCCTTTGAACTAGTTGATAACTCATTTTTCTTTGGCTCTTGTAGAGCCTTAAGGTTGTTTTTCTTTTTTAGCTTTTTAGATTTTTGGGGTTTTGTCTCGCTTTCGGGTCTTTTAACTTCTTCCTCACTATCTAGGGAAATAAGATCCTTTCCCTGGTCTTTTTCAATTTTAGAATCCTTGGTTAGATCTGAGGTGGCTATAGCCTCCTCCTGGGGTTGATCATTTTGCATGATCTGCTCTCCCTTAGCAACCATAATGGCAAGGGGCTTCTATTAAGTTCTGAATGGATATTTTGTACTGACTAAGCTTTTGTCCCATTATTACCCGTACTTAAAATAAAACGTAAGTAAATACTTACCAGGACGTCTTCTCTTCGTCCCTCTGTGTTTTCCACCAGCATTTTTGGGTTGCTCTGCACTGGAGCCTTCCTCGGGAGCTCTTCACTGGATCCTTTGTACGCAGGTCTGAGTTCGGGTGCCACTTGCCCCGGCCCATGGGACAGTCGAACAGGTTTCCTGAGGGAAGGAGTGAGAGATGGGACAAACAGCATGGAGACGACACAGTGTTACTGCTCTTCAGGCTTTTCCATTTATCGTGGGCCAGGGATCATGGTTATATACACGTTGGTGAGCGATGATTGGCTGATCTATATGCCAATCATAAGGTAGCCAATTGTGGCCTTTGGCATTGTGTAATTGTTTGCTTTCTGAGACCTAAGATAGTGATAATAATAGACTCATAAAAATGGCCTCTCGGACTCACTGATTTAATGATTTTAATGATTTTCTTCTCCCATTCTGAAGTCAATAAATAACTTTGGAGTATGTAGTCTTTCGGTTAGCTCACAAACAATTCCCTGAGTCTGTGAGCTAGACTTCTGCTTCCTACAATTAAAAAAGGCCTTCATGGCCCAGCCTGGTAGCACAATCAGTAGCAAACCCAAGTGTAGTGGTGGAAGCCAATGGCTGACTGGGTTTGGATCTCTGGGTTGGCCTGAAACCAGGCAGGACACATAGCTCTATAAAAGCCCTAGAATTGGAAGACATGCAGGCTTGGAAGAAAGGATTGTGGCAGG